GCTCCCATGCCCATCACTGCAGCTCAGTGGCTTTACTGTCTCTAGGGCATTAACTGGTCCTTCGTGATCCTTTCACGGGTGCCATGCAATATGAGCACTGTTTGGTACGCAAACATGATTTGTGTGACAAACCCAAAGATTTCAAACAGGAATCCAGAGTAATAATGGACTAGGATCTCATGGTGACCAGAGGAAACACTACAGGGACACAACGAAGGCAGAGCTCAAGAAAACGGATGCTCACATCAAAAGCTGGGAGGAGCTGGCTGCCAACAGACTCCAACGGTGCCACAACCTCAAGCAAGTGACAGCCCCTTTCAAGGTAAAGCATCTCACCCCCAGGGCAAAGACGAGACAGCAGAGGAAGGAAAAGCAGATGAATCCCAGCCTGCAGCTGACGTTCTCCTGTGGGAAGACCTGCAACTCCTGTGGATGGGTCCGTGGCTCGAGGATTGAACTCTTCAGTTGCTTCAAGCCTCATCTATGCGCCATGGCAGAGATCAGCCTTGCAGGGCAGGATGGTTGACTGGGACCGTTGCGTTAAAACACTCTGCCTTGTTTTAAGAGGAAAACCCCAGCTCTCATGCATTTCTGGAGTCAAAAAAACCCGGCGAGAACTCAGCACCAGCATTTTCTGATGCCCAGTAGTGACCCAATGCCCTGTAGTTAGCTCTCTGACACTGGGGATTTGAACCAACCTTCCTGTGGGGGCCTAGAGCTCACAGAGGGAGCAGTTAACATACCAACCAGCCACAGGGTTTACGCGCCATGCCTAGCAACTCTCTCTCATACAGCGTCTGCTCCCAACTTCCAAATCTCTGACCCATGGCCTGGTAGCATTGCTCACCAGGCACCTTCCATCTACCCCATCCGGGCGTTCGTAAAGGCTGCTGCTATCGCTTAAGGGCTGTGCTGCCAGTGGTGGCCATAGGCGTGTTGGGGGCCCTGGGCAAGAGAGTCATGTGGGGGCCCTTAGAGGCTTAATCTGGATGACCTATAACCCCCCACCATTGTGGCATGGATCTTTTTAATATTCTTGGGGGGAATTAGAGAAATAGCCACGTGTTCAAATGCAAGCAGAGCCACTTCCTTGCACAAACTTCAACCCCCCCCAAAAAAAATCTGTTGCAAAACTTTGGGGCCCCAGCGGTCGCCCGGCTGGCCTCCCGTTGGCACAGGGGCTGCCCAGGACATTCCTCGTACATCCAGGTAGGAGCACTAGGGACAGCGGGCACCTGCCCAAGCCCGGGGCCTTGCTCCTCGGCCTCTCCAGGTTCAAGGCCGAGCTCCCCCTCGTGCCTGGAGGGGGCAGCCAGCCGCAAGGGGAAGGGGCTGCACCCTTCCAGGACCCCTCTGCCTCGCAAGGGAAGGGGCTGCCCGGCCCTGGGGCTCACCTGGGCCCGGAGCGGGCGGTGCGCGGGGCGGCGGGCG